CTCCTAAAATCTAGAGGATACTCAAGGATTTGGGTTGGGAAATTTATATTTAAAAACTTAATAGTCAAAATACATACTCAATATATTTACTTGAAAGAAAGGGTCAATGACAGATATCCCAATATAATTTTATAGTAGTCAGCTTTCCCCTAGGACTGTGGTTGGTGAACTGCAGCTTGCGAGCCACACACGGCTCTTTGGTCCCTTGAGTGTGGCTCTTCCAAAAAATACCACAGCCTGGGTGAGTCTATTTTGAAGAAGTAGCATTAGAAGTTTAAGTTTAAAATTTTTGGCTCTCAAAGAAATTTCAGTCATTGCACTGTTGATATTTGTCTCTGTTGACTAATGAGTTTGCCAACCACTGGCCTAGGATATTTATGGTAAAATCATGAGATAAACTAAGTACAAAATCAAAGGCCATATGAGAACCAGGTATTCAAAGTGGCAGAAATAGAATTAATTTATGCATTTGAGAGTTACTGGGTGCATGACTAGGCATTGCTCAGCATTCAGGAGATCTGAGATAAGTAACAATTTATCCTGAAAAAACTCATAGCCTCATTAGGGACACATAGTCCTATACGATGTTCAAATTGCTCTGTATCAATGAGTTGCCAGGAAAAAGCTCTGCAAAGAAGATGAGGGATTAAAAGTTTGGAGAGAGAGCCCTATCTGGTTTGGCTCAATGGACAGAGCGCCAGCCTGTGGACTGAGGGGTCCCATGTTGGATTCTGGTCAAGGGCACATGTCTGTGTTGTGGGCTTGACCCCCAGTGGGGTACATGCAGGAGGCAGCCAATAAATGGTTCTCTATCATTATTGATGTTTCTATCTCTCTTTCCCTCTCCCTTCTTCTCTGAAATCAATAAAGATATATTAAAAAAAAAAAAAAAAAAAAAAAAAGTTTGGAGAGAGAAAAAACTTACCCAACAGAAATGGACTGAAAGCACCCAGAGAGAACAACACATGCAATAACAGGGAGCTGAGTCTCCCACTGTAGCCATTTCTGATGGAAAAATGTAGGAAATGGGGCCACTAAAAAATGAGGTGGGGCTTGTGAAGGGCCTTATAATATCTGCTAAAAAATTGTACTTTCTAATATGAGTGTCAGAAAACATTTATAGATTTAAGGAACTGTTAAGTGGGAAAACTGGTTCATTTGATCTGAAGGATGTTTGTGTATGTGTGTTTTTATATTTTTACTGGTTTTAGAGAGAAAGGAAGAGGGTGAGAGATAGAAGCATCAATGATGAGAGAATCATTGACTGGCTGCCTCCTGCACATCCCACACTGGGGATCGAGCCCACAACTGGGTACAGGCCCTGACCAGGAATCAAATCTTGACTTTCTGGTTCATAGGTCGACATTCAACCACTGAGCTATACCAGCTGGGCTGTTTTTGTTTTTAATGAACTAACTCCATGGTATCATGGCTTTAAGTTGTTCTGAAGATATTTCTCCTTGAGTGGATGGAGCCTTGTTCACAAAGTAGCCTCAACAGCCTTTTTTTAGCAAACGTGTATCTTCTGACTGTGCTGTGAAAAAGTAGTTCGCCTCCCCAGCACACATACAAGTAGAGATGCTGCCTTCTTGGTTTTCTATATTTGATTATGACCAAGGTTTTTCCTGTTTCAGAATGAATTTTTTTAGCAAGCCTGGTGGGAAGCAGTCAACAAAAGTACAATGAAACTTCACAGCAATTCCCAGTGGCAGTATGTTGTCACCTTGGGTGTCACTGGAGTCTCCACCTCCAGGAGATGCCATCTCTCCTGTGACAGCTGGCTTTGTCCTGGGAAGGGAGAGAAGCCTTAGCTATCAGGGATTTGTTTCCTCGTGTAACTTTAATAAGGGCAGGGGTGGGTCCCCAGTGACACAACAGGAATCTTCACTAACGTAAATGATCGTTACCCCCTAGAGCTAAAGAAAGCTCCGTTTCCTTGGGTTCTTGGCTTCTTTTAGTGCGAGCTAAAATAGCAATTTTGTTTTCTGAAAATGTTAATGCTTATTTACATTCCGGGAGCCAGTTAAGACTCTGGATTCCCATTCAACGTTCATGGCCTCAAAGTTGTGGCAAAGGCACAAGAAAAGTTAGATGTCAAGAACATGGCCATGCAAAGGTATATCAACCATCGGTAAATATCTGGGCATTTTAGACGCTTGAAATATAGTTCATCAAAAATCTATCTAGCCCAGTCAGTGTGGCTCAGTGGTTGAGCATCAACCTATGAACCAAGGAGTTACCAGTTCAATTCCCAGTCAGGATACATGCACAGGCTGTGGGGCTTAATCCCCTGTAGGAGATGTGCAGGAGGCAGCTAATAGATAATGTTTCTCTCTTATCAATGTTTCTCTCTATTCCTTGCCCTTCCTCTCTCTCTCTCTCAAGATCAATAAAAGCATATTTTAAAAAAAAGGAAAAAAAACTATTGTTTGGTTTATGATTTTTCTTTATTACAAACCCCTTTTGTTGTTGTTGCATTCATATACAATAATTTGCTGTGAAGAGCTCTTACTGTTCAGATGCCTAGGGTTTTTAGAGATGACACTATTTACTTACTTGATGTTGAATTAACATTTCTGGCAGCTTTTATACATGGGGCTACTTTTTTGTATCATCTATGCTCTTCACAAATTCTCACCACATTGTCTTTTTCCATGTATAATGTACTATTAACAGAAAGAGCACCAAACTTACATGTCTTGAATTGTAAACCAAAGACTGTCTCTCAACCAATAAAGGATCTTAAAAATGACATTTAACCTCTGGATCCTAGTGTCCCCATCTCACAAGTGGGATAATAATAATATACCCCTATTAACTATTTGTAGATCTGATAGGGAAAATGTACTTGAAAGCAGGTTGTATTATAAATTTACTCAAACATTTATTAAACATAATAATTGATGTATCTAAAATGCAAATGGTTCTTCAAAGACTGTGTCTTTATTCAATCTACATAAAAGGCTGATCAAAAGCATTTTTTTTTGGGGGGGGGGGGGGTGTCTGAGCTTATACAGCCCCAATGAATGTGGTACAGGAATTGAACTTAGCCTAAAGGAAAGAATGGTTATTATGTCCCTTCCAACATCTCATTGTCAGTCTTTTCCTCTGAAATATTGATAGAAAAGCTAATCAATTCAGGATAGAACCCAAGGGTGCAAGTCTACAGTGCTGAGATCCAGACACTGATTTAAGCCTGGTCCATACACTTTAGGATTGAGACTTGGCCAGGTATGAAATTGACCACATGCAGTGGACATTTCAAAACACATAGAATTGTTCTCACACTTACTGTCTCACTTCTTAACTGTGAGGTTGAGAGGTATCTCTTTGTTGCCAGAAGTTTTAGATCCGCTGAAAAGCCTGGACAAGTATTCCATTGGGTCCCTCAAGTTCCATGCCAGCAGCAAGGCAGAAATAGTTTTGGCCTGGCAATTTCAAGGCAGGTGTTGCCAGTGGGTTGCCTGAACCATGGAAGATCCTCCTTCTGGCCTTTTTTTAAATGCCTGCTTTGAGAGGCACTACCTCCTGATGGGCCTGCCAGGGAGAATTAGTTTCAGAATCCATTCAGAGGAAGTGGACTGAATTAAGTTACTGGATAAACTAGAAATGTCTACTTAAAAAGTCTGCCCAAAACAATCTTGGTTTTGGCATCGTTGAAATTGAACTGCTCATTTGCTTTATTTTGTTTTCCGATGGTATTCATCCATTGGGTCCAGTTGCTTATATTGGAGTTTTGTGGTTCGTGATAGTAAAATCAACTCAGAGAGAAAATACTTTATAAAAGGTGTCAATGTTATGAATCTAACCACAGACTAGAAAAAATATATATATCCATGCCCTGCTTTCTGAAATACAGGTCCTCCAGATTGTGGAATATAAACTCTCCAGGATTTAAATCCAATTCAAACTTCTGGTGGTCTTCATGCTTAAAAAAGTCATGTGGTTGTTAGAAAAATAACAGTGAATTTTATTATTGCTTTTAAGTGTAAAATGAATAATGAAGACTCTTCAGTGGTTCTTAATTGTTCAAAAATCATGTGTCCTTTCGAACTCTTCGTAAAAGCTGATGTCTAACCTGGAAAAGTGAATGTAAGCCCATACCACACAATTTGGGTTGTAATTTCACGAGGTCCTGGGCTCACAGATGGATCCCAGCACACACAGTGGTTATCTGTACTCACCTACCTTGAAGGTCTATTTCTTTCTCACATTTTGCAGCTTTCCCTTTTTCCACAGACTCCCTCCCTGGCACATCTGGTTGGGTTCTTGCTCACCGCCCACATCATCACTGAAGGCGGTTTGTCACTGGATCTATCGTGATCATAGATCTTGGCCAGAAAGGGCCCAAGGGAGCGCTCATTCACAGTCTGCTCTGGAAGGTGGTGTGCAGAGTGCTTTACCTGCAATGCCCCTCACTCAACAGGTTGTGACGTGTCTGAGGAAATTCGTGTGAACCTCTGTGCACCCAGGAACTCAGAGAAACTACAAGATACTATCAGTATCTAAGAGATACAGGTACAGTTGGGTGGGGCTCAGTGGTGGAGCGTCAACCCATGAGCCAGGAGGTCACAGTTGGATACATTGCACATGCCCAGGTTGCAGGCTCAACTCCCAGTCGGGGGTGTGCAAGAGGCAGCTGATTAATCATTCTCTCTAATGTTTCTCTCTCTCTCTCCCTGCCTCTCCCTGAAATCAATAAAAACATTTTTTTTTAAAATAAGAGATACAGGAGATGATGGGCCCACATTCAAATGTTTTTCAAGAACCCCAGAAACATGGATCGAGAATGCCAGGCTATGTCTCTCTAAGTTCCCTCAGAATGAGGATGGCTTTAGGTCAGGTTCTCAGTTTCCCCTCCAGCCTTTGGACTTGACTGGCAAGGAGTCCGAGCAGCCTCTCAGACCTTCTTACTAGAGATCTCACTTCCCTGCCTCACTGCTCTGAAATCACCACCATGCACTTCTCACTGTTGCCTTTGCTTTGCTTTATCCAAACAGGTAACAACGCTGGCTCAGGAGGTCTCCCAGTTAGGGAAAGACATGAGGAGTGTGATGCAACTTCTAGAAAACATTCTGCCACCCCGGCAGCCGGCGCGGTTTTGCTCTCTGCACACCGCCTCTGCACACCCCTCCAGGGACGGCTTCCAGAGCAGGATGACCTGGAGTGCACGCCAACCCTGCCTGCACTTGCAAGCAGGCGGGGCTGCCTCCACCCAAGCACAACTTTGTCACGCGAATGTCACCTCGGACATCTGGAGTGTGGATCCCTCCTCCGTGGAGACCAGCCCCCAGCGAACTGGAGCTCTGGAGCCAAACCCTGCAGGCAGTGACCTCGATCCTTCTCCAAACCTTGATTTTCCACCCGCCCGCTACCCGGTGGTCCAGGAAGGTCATTTGCAATTTCTAAGGTGCGTCTCGCCGCAGTCTGATTCGACGCTGACGCCTCTGCAGTCCATTTCGGCGACTCTCTCGTCCTCTGTCTGCTCCTCCTCCGAAACGTCCCTGCACCTGGTTCTCCCAAGCAGGTCGGAGGCAGGCAGCTTCGGCCAGGGGGCTGTGAGCTCCTTCAGCCTGGAGAACCTGCCAGGGTCTTGGGACCGGGAAGGACTGACACCCATCTCTACCAAACCCTTGGAGAACTTTCCACTGCAAGTCGTCACAAGCACAGCCGCCGCCGACGTGAAAGATAACAAAGCCATCAATGTATGACCTTAGTGCACGGGAGGCAGCTGCCAACTTCCAACCCGCCAGTGCATGGCTGCTTTGGCTGCCTTTTGTGCCTCTGGCAGACGTGAGGACCGAGCAGAGCAGGGAGTCCTGCGGGAGAGAGCCAGCCTAGGGGCCAGGGCAAGGCACAGGCACCACCATAGCCGCTTTCTAGATCCTAGACACAGAAGAGGATCACTTTTCCTGGACAGGTATTGGCTTACCGGTCTGTTTGACGGACTTTGGTAAAAATGCAAAGGCCCTGAGCAGCTAGAAGTCCCAGACAAAGAACGTGTGGACTCGTCTTGTCCCAGGTGGCTTTTGTGAAGGGCAAGCAAAGGTTTCTCCCAAGCGTCTGTTTGTCATCCTTGAACAATATCCGTAGCACTGTTGGCCTGCAGCGGCGCCTAGCTCCTGCTGACCTATTTTCCTTTTTTGTGAAGGCAAAGAGACAAACATCACTGCATGTCATCTCCTAGACAATCAGTCAAGTAGAGCTGGTGGCCAATGGTTAGCTATTGCACGTTATTTGCCGTGTAAATGATGATGTCTTTATTTATCAAAACAAAAGAGAGAGCCTATTTTTATATCCTTGGTATGAAATATGTATTTAATCTATTTAAACTATTTATAAAGAAATGAATGTTTTCATTTTGGTATAAAAAAAAAGCTTGCCATTTTAACAAGAAATGCACTACTGCTATGTATAGTAGATCAAAAATTATTTATGATTAAGAGGATGTAGTTTCAAAAGGCACCCCTCGCCCCCTTTTATCTGCATGCAGTTTGCCACAAATGTATCCTTATGCTTCTGGATGATGAGAGAAAAGCGAGGTCAGACCTTCTCATTAGAGATCTCACTTCCCCGGCTCACTGCTCTGAGATCACTACCATGCACTTGGTGAAATGAAATGAAAGCATGGACTCGGTGTCAAGTACACAAGCTCCAGCCCATGGTAGGGGCTCCACCTACTCAGCTGACTCGAGGCTGCCAGCATAAATGCCCCTTCTCCAGGCATCACACTTGGGTGTGCAGGAACCCAAAGGCAGTCTGTGGGATATGAAATCACAACTACATTGGGCCGTTTTGGCCTCAAAATAAGGGAGAAGACCTTGGGTGTCTCCCTGTGCTGTCGCTTCAGGAGAGGTTGCAGGCTAGTGCAAATTCCAAAATTGAGCCAAGACTTCTGATTTGTGATTTGTGAGGGAAATGCCTCACAAAATTGAAGTGCATGGGATCAGCACTTTAATTTTTTTTAAAGCTCTCAACAATGCTCTAAGTGAAGTGGAGCAGGTGTTTTCCTTCTCATTTAGAGAGAGAGAGAGAAAGAAAGTCCCAGAGATTACACAGCAAGGAGGCTGGAGAAAGTCTGGAGCGTATAATGCTCCCTGTACCCTCCCTCCTCCCACCACCACCACCTCCCCTACATCTCAACCAGCACACAAATTCAGATGCTGGCTTGGTAAGGATTTAAACGCCTTCTTTTAAATTTTATTTTATGTTTAAGAACATTTAGGACCCAATCATCCCAGACGTTCTTAGAAAACCTATTGAATTCACATTCTGGAGTCCCCCTGTTCTTATTTCCCACCATAGAGAATCAGCAATCTGAGAACTGTGTCATTAAAAACATCTAAACAAGCAAGACTTCTGATGTGTGAATCTTATAACCTAAAATAGGCTAGAATAACCGAAGAAAAGAAAATGTGGAAACAGAACATGTATATGAGGCAGGTCACTCAAAAATCAATGCTTTCTACTCTCCCACTTCCATATTGAATCTCTCCCTACTTAAGTGAATGGGAAAACTGAGGCAAAGGGAACAGTCTAATGCAAACTCATTTGTCAACAGAGCAAACTCATTAGTCAACAGAGCCAAATATCAACAGTACAACGATTTTTTTTTTTTTGAGAGCCAAATTTTTTAAACTTAAACTTCTTCTAACACCACTTCTTTAAAATACACTCTCCCAGGCTGTGGTATTTTGTGGAAGAGCCACACTAAAGGGGCCAAGGAGCCACATGTGGATCGAGAGCTGTAGTTTAATTAGACCATGGGTCTAATATAATCATTCGTATTCCCTATTTTGCTCCCTGACCTATGTCATCATTTGAAGTACCATTCAGAAAGAATTCACTAGTGCTGGATGGTAAAATAGCCTCCTGGAAAACCAGCACTACAATAATGCTACTAATAATGACTGACATTCTGTTTTTTGAATACTGATAGCATACCAAATGTTTAGGAACTAACATGCTTCCACATATAATCATCAAACAATGCTAAAAGCTACTTGTTATTATCATCTTTATTTTGTAAATGAATAATTAGCTCAGGGATTTTTTTTTTAACTTGCCCCATCACATTGTTTTAAGTGATAGACCCAATACCCGCATGGCCATTCTGGGTACTCCTCCTTCCTCATTCTTGCTGACTTTTGAAATTAATTTCTTCTGAAATCTGCAAATAAAATATTTGCTTTATTTTTTTTTTTAAGTAAGCATACAAACAGGGTAAATTAGTGCAGCTCTGATGATTTGGGGGAGACCAGTGAGATACCTAGAAACATGCCCACATTTTTCCAGCCAGTCACCTTCGCTGTATCTATTCCATACAACTGATGTTAGCGGGTGTAAGAACCAGCTCCCTACCCCAGGTCCATCTGTAACGGGATGAGAATGAGCGAGCCCCTGGGAGAAGAAAGGGTTCCCACATTTTTCTTACAGGAGGGCTCCTGCCTCATCTGAATCAGCCATGCCTCCTCTTCCTTGGTCTTTTCTCTCATCATTATTCTGATAAACAGGACTCTCCCTTATTGTAGGCAGCTTAGAATGACATGTTTTGGGTTTCTGTTTGTTTTTGCATGTTGTGATATTATTCTAGGAAATGAGAATCCCAAGCTGTTCTAGATGTTTGGTTTTCTAACCAATGTTGCTATGCAAGGCCCTTGTCTTCTGATCAGGGATGCTTTTCTGGAGCCCTGTGCTCTCGTTTTCCTCATCTACCCGTGCTCAGCTGAAGAAGCCAGGCAGGGGCCATCCCAGAGGGAACAGAAGCACTTAGTGTATTTTTTTGGTCAAGCATATTTTCTTAAAAATAATATGGGGGACTAAAGTCTTCTGTGTAGTTCTAAGTAAGAGTACCAGACTAACATTATATAAGACTTTATTTTAATTCACCGTAGAAGAAGTTTCTGGCAATTAAAGCTACTTATAAATGAAGTTGATTGCCTTGAGCGTTGGTATAAAATAACAAGGTATCTTTTCAGAGATGAATAATTCTTTGAGAGGAATATTGTTTTCCAGAATACCTGCTTCAGAATCACATGGGTACTTGTTTAAACTATGGGAAATCTGGCAACAGCCTAGCCCCTTTGGGTGGGGCCTGGGTCTCTCCCATGTACCACATTCCTGGGGTGACTCAGATACACTAAAGATTAGGAAATGTTGGTCTACAATCTATAGTAGGACAAGACTGAGTCCTAGCTAATTTATACATAAATGGACTAGCATCTACATTCTATTAAAGACATCCCTGGGCCTATAATTATATTAGTAGTTAGGCGGGGTTAACCCCCGTAACAGTAGTCTCAAGCTCTAGTTTGAATAACATATTTCCAGGGGATCTTAATGAAGCAGAGATTTCAGGGTCCTGACCTCCATGATGTGAGCTGGGTTCTGATATGGATGTTACCGGAAACAAACCCCAGAAACACTGTCCTAAGTGGTGTAATCATCCCTTTGATAATGTAATCATCCCTTAGTTGGTTCTGTGGGAGGTGGGCCCACTAAAATCAAACCAATTTAAACTGACAATTTGTGTGCAATTTTATTTCTTTACAGTTGCTAACACATCAATGATTTTTTCCATAAAAATTATTGGTCACTTTCTCCAAGAAACCTTCCAACATTTATTCATTATTTCCACTAATAATGGTCAAGTACCTACTATGTGCCCTCTACTAGTACCTCTTGTTTATTGTAGGTCTCTGTCTTGTTTTATTCGGATTTTCTAGAAGGGAAAAAAAAGTGCCTGTTGAAGTCTCATAATCTTATCAGTTCTTCAGAGATAGGGAGGAATCCTATTTGGATGTGAAGCGAGCCAACTATTTAGTTTAAAAATAACAATTGCCCCCCTATTGTCTGTGTTGAAAGCCAGGGCTGGGAGGGGACAATGGGGGAAAAGGGGAACATGTGTAATACTTTCAAAAAATAAAGATTTTTTTTTAAAAAAGTACAAAGAAAAATGAGAATTGTTGTGGAAGGGCCTTGTGTGCACCAGAATCGCTAATGTCAAGATTATGACATTAATCTTCTCATGGAGTATGTAAGTTAGATCATAGAATTTACTATAGAATTCTATGATACTCCAAACATAGCCCACCCTAAGTCACCATCATCAATAAAGGCAGAACCTCAGCACACGTGCCCCTCAGTTAAAGGCTATTCCAAAACGCTGTCCGTTGCCTCCTTCTTTCAGGTCACCCAAAGACAAGTACTTCAAATAAACATGATACTGAGAAAGAAGTTTTAGGGGGACACCTAGGAGTGTTTGTTTCCAACCATTTTTCTTTGCTCTGCGACCCTGGATGAGTTAACACTTCTGAGTCTCGATTTCTTCACCTAAAAATTGGAGATTGAAAGGTATCTAACTTGCAGAATGTTGGGAAGGTTGAATGAGGTAATTTATGTGAAAGCACACTGCCTGGAATCTAATGAATGCTAAGCAAATGTCACTGGTCTCCCCTGACTCTCTCCTGCTTCTTTATCCTACTCCCCTCCTCTCTCCTACCTCCTCTTCCCAACTTCCTCCTTCGCTCTCCCTCCCCTACCCCTTCTTCTTTCCCCTCCAGCTTCTCTGTGCCCTTCTGCTCCCTCCTTCTTCCTCCTCCCCTACCTGTCCCAGGCTAACTTTTGGAAAATGAGTCCCTTTGACATCTTCTCTGCACAGGTCCCAATCTACTTATATACTATGTCCCCAACCGTCTATTCGTCACAGTGTCAATAATCAAGTCAACATTAAAACAGTCCTTGAAAAGACACAAGGGTAAAAATGGGCTGTCTCTGCTCCCAGCTATCTTAGCCCCAACTCATGTGGCTTCTGATTCATCTTTATCCGAATTTTAGTAATTAAAGTCTTAAACTTTGTAATTACGGAAGGGCCCAGGAAATGTAGTCAGTGACATGAATATACTGCATAAACATATATATATATATCTGCAAAATTTCTCTATGGAAATTTGCTATTACTTCAGAAATGACACACGTTGTGTGGGCCACGCCCACCACCACAGGGCCAACAGCCTCAGAATTTTCTCTGTGGGGAGTGGCTTTGTCCTCTTGCTGGCAGCTCCTCTGGCTGGAGGCAGCCCTGGAGAAATGCCTGCTACTTCACAGGAATGCTGGCAGAGCTTCCCCTTGGGATCCCTCCCACCCAGAGAACAGGTCCCACCAGAGGAAGCAGCTGAAATGTCACTCCCTGCAGCCTGTGTCCTCAAAGAATCTGTGTCCTTGGGCTGTGCCATTTAACAGAGCCCCGAGGACAGCCAGGGAGGCAGAGACCAGCACACCGTACCTCTTGTTCCAGGAAATTAAACAAGCTGTCCATTCCAGGAAAAAATAAATAAACAAAAACAGCTGGGTGGACAACACTACGCCTTCTCAGACGCTCTCCTCCTGGCTGAGGTTTCTCCCCTGCCGAGATGAGAAGCTGGGAAGGGGATGGAATTGAATCCTGGGTCTCAGGCGTTGTTTTGAAGTTTTCGTGGGGGTTGTTGACAGTTGGCTTGATAAAAATAAAACATGCGTATGCGATATAATTGAGGACAATAGAGAATAAAAGTGGAGGAAGTGAGACTTAACAGTGTGTCTGGGCTTTTCATTTTTGTAAGAACCCAGTACACTAACTCGAGGGGACTGCGCTCAAGTAAGCATTCTCTCTGGGATAAAGAGTGCCCCATGGGTTTGGTATTCTTGCTTTTAGTAGTAAACTTTATACCATCCCTGAGACTCCTGAGCTCCAGCTGGCAGTTTATTGTGCACTGAGGCTTATTTGTCCTGAGGAAGAGTTATTTCTGAACTCGGCATGGGGGCCAATGTTAACTGCTGCTGAGGAAGAGGCCTGAACTGGGCTGCATCCCTCAGGGAACTCAGCCCTCTGAGTGGCGGCAGCCACTTGGCTAAGCCTCTGAGTGTCGTTCGGGTCCTTTGTCATGATTGGCAGTGATGTCCAGGAGCCCCCAGGTTGAACGCATATTTCTGAAAGTTGCCATGGTAATCCACAACCCACAAAGAGTCATGATTGCTCCTCCTACTCTAATCAGGCAACCCAGAGAGCGAAATCAAATTGTCATCTCTGGCTTCTGGCATCCATGAGATATTTGAGCCCTCGACCTGAATCACTTAATATGTCTCTGGTTTAATTTATAGCAAAACCACATGCAGAGGAAAAAAAAGGGACTCTATCCTTGTTTCCTGACTCTTGATTCTCAAAGTGTGGCCCATGGAACAGCAGCAGCAACTTCGTGTGGGAGCTTCCTAAAAATGCAAAATCTTGGATCCCATCCCAGAGCTACAGAATCAGTCTGCACTTAACAAGATCCTCACACGTACACGTTATAGTTTAGTTTTATTTGTTTTGTTAATATATTTTTGTTGATTTCAGAGAGGATGGGAGAGGGATAACGAGATAGAAACATCAATGATGAGAAAGAAACATCAAATGGTAAGATATATACACATATAATACCTTAATAAAATTTAAAAAAAAGAATCATCAATCAGCTGCTTCCTTCATGCCCCCTACTGGGGATCAAGCCTGCAACCC